ATCCTCAAGGGACATACATCCAGCATCCTCACACACACCGGTGGAATGAGAAAGACCTTGAAATGCATTTTGGCTAACTAAATGAAGATATATGTGTAGAAACCATCCCATCCAAATTTAAAATTGCTTAAACCCACCAACTGTCATACTGTACATAGCTGAATTCACCAGAAATGAAAATATATCATTTCAGACTGTGACCTGTTTTTTTAAAATTCCCAATCTAAACTTGTCATTACCATTTTCATCACATTTCTTTTAATAGAAAAGCAATAAAAACAGCAATGTCATTACAATAATGTATAACTAGGGCGATGTTCCTCAACATACTGTATATTAAATAGCAAATTCATTATTCACAGTCCTATAGGAATTACCCGTTATTGACAGACATGGCAGACAACAGATTGTGTAAAATTGTATGGAATAAGCAGCCTCCAAATGCAATTCCCTTGATCTGCAAATATTTACCTATATGAGTTTAACTAACTTAGTATTTGCACACCCATGCTTGGTCTTAGTAAAACTTTAATGGAAGAAACTTTCTTTACCTGGCAACTATGAATAGATAAGCAGGTATGCACCTAACAGGGTAAGCAACAGAATCTAAAGATAGTGATGACAGTCCTATTCTTCCTTCTTGAAAGAGAAGTAGTAGGAAAGAGGAGCAAATTTACTCATCGCTTAGTTACATAACACATTATTTTCCTGTCTACTCTAATAAAACCCATGGCTTTTGTGAAACTTTTCAGATTTTATCCGCTTGTCTTAATCAGCAATTGAAACAATGCAGAACTGTGTACATTGAACTCAGTGACCATGTATAACTGTGATTGTCTCCTTTCACAGCTTTTTACCTTGTATTCTTTCCTCTCTTTCTTTGAAATCGTTGGTAATAGCCAAATAATCCAAAAATGAAAAAGGTCTGGGCGGCTGTCAGTAAAAATAAAATGGCATAAAAATGACTAAAACCTTTAGTGGATAATATGTGTCAATATATGAATTAAAATACTGGGATTCTGTGCACTACAATCCCAACTTTAACAAAGCCTTAGGAACAATAAAGTACAAAATGAGATGAATGCAGCAGAATTCACAGTGGTATTAAGATCCTTGTTTCTGTCTTGCTTAAGCGTGCATGGACATTTTCTTTTTAAGCTTATGTTTCCTTGCAAATGTTATGTACATAGATGGTGTTATTTATCAATTAAAACCCCAAAAGTATATTTTAAATTTAAATCAACTACCCATTCATGTATGGGTTTTTTGGCATCTCTGTAGCAATGGTTATTATATTTTACAATATTCTGTTAAATAGGCTAGACTGGAAAGTCAAATAACTTCCTGGAAAATGATCCCTTTTGCACTCAGTGCCAAGAAATCTATATGGCTATATCTATGTAGTTACCAGGATAAGAGGTCAATTTAAGGGCATCTTTATCTTGATTTTTACAACTTTTATTGGAGGTATCTGGGATTGAATCAGAGATTTTTGTATTCTTAAGATTCAATGCTCTATCATGGAGCTTTTTTCAAGTAATACTGTATCCAAATAGAGTAACAGACTGGAAGGTTTCCTGCTCCAATGCAATTGACAGATGAACATTTTGATTTATGTTGCAATTTAATGCATGTTTTCATAGTAATAGATCTTGCTGCATTGGGAAGCACTTATGTTCAAATCAGTATGAACATCAGAACTTAGACTTATAAATGCCATTCCTTATTCCACTTGTTTATATTCTGTAACATTTACAGATATGAAATGGTCCATTGGGACTATGATTGTAGATAACTGAAGAGAATGATATAACTTTTTCCTTTCTTAAGCTATGACGTAAACTTAATAAATTGGTCAGAGTTGCAACTCTTTTGAAATCTTGATTATATTGACAAATTATAATGGTGGAATGATCTTTGAAATAGTTTTCTCTGCATCATTTGATGAACAGGAACTCTGTACAAATGTAGACTGGAAGAGAAGGACATCTGAGGTTACTGCTGGTTTTCCCTTTTGAACATAAACTACTAGAAGCCACTGTTCATCTCTTTATTGCTCTGCAGGACTCAGGCCATAACTTACATGTCCGAACAAAGCAGCTGGCAGGAAAAGAAAAGGGCATCCAGCATTCCAGCAGACTGTTTTCTTCTCAAACCAAGAAAATAGTTTCTGGCACTAACTAGATTGTAGATCTTATTATAGAAAGTGTTTGGCGCCACCAAATACAAAACTTTTGCACTATCTGCCATTAAAAAACTCAATGTTCTTCTTGTAAAAAAATAGAAAAGAAGTCGAAGTCAATAGCCCATCCTAATGTATCCAGCATCTATCTCCATAAAAGAGAGAAAAGATGGCATTGAGTAGCCGTGTTTGTCCATGATAATTTAGTTGTATAGATGTAAATTCTTATCATAATATGGATATTAATGACCTGTGTTCCAAAGGCAATTTCAAAAGGCAATTGGACTTTCTTGGTATTTTTTTTCCCTTGAAAACGTTTCACTTCTCATCTACGAAGCTTCTTCAGTTCTGGCTAAATAATTGGTTGTTAACTCTCTGAGTCCTTAAGGCCACTTGGGTGTGTATCTGTACCCTCGGGGTCACCTGAATTGGGTGCAAATGGGAGTGAAACCTTTTTTGGGATTGCTGAAAGGACTGTGTTGTAGACAGGAAATATGTTTTATATCCCATCACCACTACCATTCTGTTGAGAGAAGGCTGTTCAATTTTAATACAGATGGCCTCTTTGACTAGTTTTTAGAGGTCGTCAGAGTGGACCACTGGTTTGAAAGAGGCTATGTATATTAAAATTGAATAGCCTTCTCGCAACAGAATGAGAGGGATAAACACCATCTATCTCCTGTCTACAACACAGTCTTTTCAGCAGTCCCAAGAAAGTTCCACTCCTATTTACATTCCAATTCAGATGACCCCGAGAGTACAGATAACTCCCAAGTGACTCTCAGAGAGCTAAGGACTGATCTTCAGGGTGCTAACATCCAGATGACTGCTAAGGAATGATTCCCCACCATTCAGCCAGAACCAGGGGTGGGATTCAGCCGGTTCGGACCAGTTTGGGCAAATTGGATATTAAACTTACATCTGGTTCACCAAACTGGTAGTTGAACTGACTGGCTGCCCCCGCCCATCTCTCCCTTCCCCTCCCCAGAGTCTCCGTGCGGCCCATTTTGGATGCAGGTAAATGCAAGGTCCCCGCGGAGGCTCTGGGAGAGTAAAAAATGGGCCTTCTGGAAGTCCGGAAATGGGCCTGTTTCCGGCTTCCAGAGGGCCTCCAGACACAGAGGGAGGCCATTTTTACCCCCCTAGAGGCTCGAGGGAAGCCTCCGGACCCTGGGGAAGGCAAAAAACAGCCCTCCCGAAAGTTCCAGTAGGCCACGCCCACCATGGCCATGCCCACCCAGCAACTGGGCAGCAAACCAGTTGCTGGGATTTTTGAATCCCACTCCTGGCCAGAACTAAACAAATTTCTTGGATGAGAAGTGAAACATTTTCAAGGTAAAAAACAAACCAATCAAGAAAATCCAGTTGCCTTTTGAAAAGCATCTTTGGGACACCTATGACCTGGATGATTGAGAATCTCCATAGACATTAGTGACCTGTGTACTTCTGGTACAGATACTAACGGTGGAATATCTAGCTTCCCCTTCTGCCCCTTTTTCCTCTAAGGTTATTTTTTCTTTGAAAACTGTTAAACTTTACTTAAAGTAGGGGACAGCTTAACTATAGGTCTATTCCCCGTAAATGAAAATCATCAGGCACTCTTTTAATAGAGGGATATTTTTAGATGTACATAAAGCTTACAGAAGGAGTCTATGTCATAGTAACAAGAAAGTGGAACAAAGATTGTCTTCTGCTCAGTAGTTTTTGAGGATTTATCCTCAACAGCTCATCAGTTTAGGGAACTTGTACACATCAATGACAGAAAAGCCATTCAGTTTCTATCTTGTAGAATTGTTCTTGTTGTTTTCAAATTTCAGTCTTTTGTTGTTTAAAATGTGGTTAGAGTCAGTTTTAGTCTTTCATTGAGCTGTGCTCATTCTTGAAATGTACATGAGCTTAGACTACGTAGTATCATCCAAAATTGTTATAACCCTTTGGAAATATGGACTATATACCTAAATCAAAAAAAAAAAATCCTTCACATTGAGTGACATGTGGACACCTGGGGAGGTTGCAGAATGGGAAATTTAGAAGGTGGCTCTGGATTGAAGAGGCTATTTTAAACAGGCATTTAAATACCGTATTTAGAAAAACACTGGACTATTTCAAGTTGCAGGTTCAGAAAGGATGCGGTTAGGGCATGAAGTGTGTAATTTTATGGATACCAGATAACAATAGTAAAGAGAAGACGAGAGGGAGAAGAGCAACACCTGTGGTTACAGAAAGAAGAAGTTCAACAGTGTTTTTAGTTTCCTGCTTTCTTCTGCCTTAACAATCTGTTTTGAAATGAGTTTGTGGGCAGTAAATTCTGAGGGCAAAGCAGGACAGAAAACACCGGGCCAAGGTTTTGTTTTCTTTGCATTCTCGGTGTAATGTTTAAAGTCCATAATGGCACACACAGAAGTGTCTCATTTATTAATCTAGGATTACACCAAGAAATCTTTGAAAAAAATAAAACAAAAACAAACCCCAGAGGTTCTCTCCTTGCCTTTTTGAAAAGCGCAAGCACCTCTCTGATGATGTTGCAGTTAAAAAAAAAAAGCATTCTAAATTTAATCGGTTTATAAGGTCTGGCAAAAGAGGGCTGGGAGAATCTCGGAGGAGTTGGGGAGGGGGGAAACATTCCTTGCTTAAACTCTCTGCCTTTCCAACGAATACACAAAAAGAGGGAGGAAAGCTGGGATTAGGAAGCATTGCTAAAACTCAACAGTTGCAGCCCAGCCTCTCGCGCTCGTTTTTCTGGGGCCGCGTGCCGCGCCGAGCAACTCTTTCCACCCCGCCCCCAGCCACGAGGTGCTTTCCAGCCCAGCTGCCTCAGGGGGAGCGCGCAGCGTTGAGTCAAAGCCGTTTGGAGTCTGCATGAAATATTAGCGGCAATTGTGCTTACTCATAAGTAGTAGCCTTTTATCTCCTCCTCCCCTTTTTTTTTCCTTTTTCTTTTTCCAATGCCGTGTCATTTGTGTTCCAACAGGGGTGTGACTTCAGATTCTGCTCTCCTCCCTGTTTAGGTCCCTCATTACTTCAGGCGCGCTTCATATTGGAATAGAAGTGGTAGCAAAACTTAAGACGCCGGCTTTCTGGACAGATTTGTGTGAGCTGCGAGAGGAAACTCCTTCGTCCTTGGGTACAAGATCTGGAAGCGGGAGCAATGGCCAAGTTCTGGTTGTGTGCAGCCGTTGGATTTTACGTGTTGCTGCCGCTTTGTGCAGCCCGAATGGGTAAGTGGCGGGTGAATGGGAAATCTATCAGGCTCTGAGCTGAGTTAGAGGCAAATGGTTTATTAGGAGATGAAGACTTCTCCTTGTCAGTGCCTCGAGTGTTAACACAGTTTAATCCCAGTGGCGTTTTACTGTTGGTTTGTCCGTGTGCGTTTTTTCCCCCTTTGGAGAGCTGAGGCGGTTGTTGGGCCCCCGTTCAGAGACGTCTGAAAAGTTAGCCCTGAATGGGAGAAATACTAATCGGTAAAGTGAACGGTAAAGTTTGGCAGAAGTTTTGCGCATCTGGTGCGCATTCAGCAGTGGCTTAGGCACTTATGGATTCATTTTCCCTCCCTTCGTTGTGTAAAGCAGATGGGAGAGGGAGAAAAGGGAGGGAGAGAGCGAGTGCAAACCCTCCTGACTTGGACTTAGGTCTCTGCAGTGATGGGAAGCCAATTGTTCCCATAGGAGATGCAGGAAGCCTTGTACCTACCTCCAACGTAATGAAAACTGAGCAGTGTTCGTTTCTTTCAGACAAGACTGCTGCGACCTGGAAGCAGATTTTTAAGCCCAGTTAGCAGGAAAAGAGTAGTTTTTTTCAACTTCATCCTATTTTCTCTAGTATCCCCCCTTCGTCCTTTCTAGTTGTTCCGTGAATAATAAAATGAAATGCTTGTTTGTGAATGAAAGTGGTTTTTGTGTTTTTAAAAATCACATGCCCCAAATGTCAAAATGCTCTTAAAGTTTGATGTGATACAGAGCCATAAATAGTTGCAGTGAAATAACTGTGCCTTTAACAGAGACTCATTGTTAATAGTAATTGCCCTGAGCTGTTTTGAAGGGAATCTATTATCCTTTCACCCTTATTTCTTCTCCCCTTACTCAGCACCCTATACCTGTTCTTGGAGGCTGACAAAACACTTTTAACAACTGTGGCTTCCTCAGTACCTTTATATTATTTGAACATGAAATGAATTAGGGAATAGTTGCTTGGCTGATTTGTAAATGGGTGTGTCAAACTGCACATTTCTCAATAAATTTTGGAATCGATAAAATATCCAGGAAAGCATGCACAAATATTTCTCTAGTGATTGTTATGAATTTAATTAAATACTCTATGAGTTTAATTAAAATAAATTCAAGGTGTTGAGTATGTCTTTTTAAGGTGGTGGAAAGTAATCCTTATCCCTGTGAGATATTAAGTTTTACAATACATGTAACATATGCATGTGCACAAGTAAATAACATAATATTTCCAGTTTACTATCCACTCTCAACTAATACCTTATTTTATGAACTGTCAAATCTTTGATTCATAATAACAGCTTGCTTGGTGCAACCTTTTGTAAGAAAGATAGAAGGGCAGCCTCGTCCTCCATGTATATACGCCATTCCTTGTTAAGGTTAAGGGAGAAAAAGAGATTTCATGTACATCTTAAGTAACTTTATATAATGTTTTAAGATGGTAGGCAGTGCAGTATATTCCAGATGAGTTTTGTGGGCGGAAATGACTGCAACTATGGATTATCCCTTTCCTATGTTCTGAGATGGCAATAGTCTAGGCAATAGAAATAGGGAATAGAATCCCTTCACTGGGAAGTAAGGCTGAATAAAGTATATAGTATCATGATTTGTGATAAACGTGTTCATTGACCAGTGAATAGTTTTGTAGGTTTCAAAACCCTACAAAACTTTTTATTCAGATGCCAAAGTAGTACCAGAAATTCTTGTATAACAGATGCAAGGCATGCCTCTCCCAAGCCACTTTCAACCTAGTGGGAAGTAAGTTAAAGGATTTTCCAGAAGATAGATGACATTTTCCTTGCATTTATATTGCTTCCCTAATAGGGCACACTAATGATTTATAGAATTTTAATCCTGATATTATTGTTACGGGCCAATAAAACTTCACTGTGAAATCTTGCTTACCCAGGAAACTTTACTAAGCACCCTTGGGCACATTACTTTCTTTAAATTTAATCTAGATTCTGTGCTATAGGAGGCTATTGTAGAATTAACACCCACATGCTTACACGAGTTATCCTAAAATGAGTGGATTATGATGTGACAATCACAATGTAAAAAAAAAACTACAAACATTTATATCATCAGATCAGAATTTTTATAAGTATTTGAAGATGCCAGTGATTGCAAAGTTCTTGCCATCTTAGAGGATAATAGCTATATGATGTAGGCAATACTGTATTGTACAAATTTCAGAAAGTCAGTCTAGTAAAATATAGCCACAGGGATCATTTCTTCCAGTTCTCCATTCTCAGTATTTATTGGAACATGTGTTGAATTGAATTCACGTCCATGTATGATGGTGAATCTCCACTACTTAACTCATTTAAGATTTTTTCTGATAAGCTATTCAAGTTGACAGTTAGATTGAAGTTAACGTCCATGAATGTTGGGTATGGGCACATGTTTCTTAGCTTCTCTTTTTTCACTTTATTTCTGTATGAGGTTATGTCTTCCATTTCCTGAAACGTTTGATGTGTTTGAGCCAGAACTCAACAAAACTTACTTTTAGATTTTCCTTTAGATTCTTTGTACAGTTACTTGATCCACTTTGTATTATTAGCTTATAACTTAAGGTCTTTCACAGCTTGGGACAGGGTAGCTAAGGGAGATAGATAGATGATAGATGGATGGATGGAGAGAGAGAGAGAGATGCACTACCAAGCTCTTATTCTGAAACATTTCTGTGGATTAACCCATTATGTGACAGTGATAGATAGCTAAAGGCAAAGAGACCTTCTGGTAATAGTAGTGCACTTACAAAGAACTTTCTCCAAAGCAATTTCTCTCAATCATATCCTATCATTTTATACCAGAAGATCTACTTTTATTCCTCCTTCAATACATAGTCAGTTTTTTGTTTTCTGATTGTTTTTCTGCCTCTTTTATATGTTTTTGGACAGCTTTAACATGTTCTTTGTATTTTGATCTTATTTTTATGCCTTGTCCCATAGAAATTTGACCATAACTGAGAGAATTAAAAGACTCAATACCCTCGTGTCTTAGAAAAGAAAGTGCTGATCCACAAAGGGCCAGCCTTTTCAATCAGCTTCCGAAGTTTTACCTCAATATGCAGAGCTACTTAACTTAATGTATGACTTGTATACATTGTAATTATATTTCTATTATAGGTAAAGTTGAAATCAGATGAAATCAGGGGGCCTGACAGAGGTAGAAGAAGTGAGAAAATCTAGTCCAATTTGTGCTCAGTGAACAATAGGTAATGAGGAAGCCCCTTCAGCATCTTCAACAGATGTCTGAGGATAGTTTGCAAAGTAGAATTTGTCAATTTCCATGGCATTTTGTTCAGTTACATTTCACAGATATAGGAATTTTTTGTTATGCTTAACCAGAGTTTATTCTTGCAATTTCTACCTATTGTTTTGAGCTCTGTTTTAGGAACAACAGAACAATTACGTTGCATCTTTTGCATGCCATGTTTTTAGTTATATAAATACAATTATTGACCTTTTTCTGGCATTCATCTGGATACATTAAGACTTGAAACAGATTTGACCTCCAAGTGTTTTAAAGCAGGCTTCAAAACACTTATAAGCAGATGTAAGCACAACTCTTCTTCAGACTTTATGGCTGAATGTATGCAGTTTGCAGAGCTGCCGTCATGGCACCATTTTACAAGCCTTCACGTGTTCAAGCTATAATCCAGCAGGCTAAACTTTTTCAAGTGTTTCCGTTAGAACTTGTTATTTATCCCCCACACCTTCCTGGTTGCTTTTCTGTGATGTGCTTCAGTATGTTTCTTGAAACATGTTGTCTAGGCTGAGCTTTTTATTTTTTTTAAAAAAAGTGTGAAAGTATACTGAAATGCAATGTTTTTAATTTTATTTCAGTTGAATATTGTTTTGGTTTTGGCCTACCTTCTCAGAATTCTAAGAAATTTAATACAACTCAAGTCCAAAGGCAAAGTGTGAGACTGTTACAGGAGTTAACTGTGGGTTCAGAAACGGAAGGGGGGATGTGATAAATGTTTCTGAAGCAGAGTCAAGAAATACGAGAAAAGCATGGGTAGTGAGTGAAGAAAGGGTAAAGATCCTCAGAGAGCAATGTAACATATGAACTTGGTTACTTATGAATGTCCATAAACAGAAAAGTGTAATATGCAATTCATTTGAAAAAGAAAAAAATGGAAAAGAGAGAATAGCAGAATGAAATATATTATCACCGCACTTTATCAGTAAAATACATAGCATACACAAATCCAGATCAGATATAGCTGTTCCAGAGTTGAATAATAGCAGAAGAAAAATACTTGAGAGACATTTTAGAAATTTAAAATACTAGGATTATGAATCCAATATAATGAATAAATGAGAAGCGTTAATGTCCCCATTATCAAGGAATAGAGATCCAATAGTCATTCGGAACAGTTGCAAAGGATATTTCAAGATCAGAGCTATTTGAATACTGATTTAAATAAAAAGGAAGATTAGGATATGTTCCATTCTATAAGACAGTTATAAACTTCAGATTCAAACATTTAATCAATTTATCTTTTGACTCAGTTCTAACAAAACAATATACGCTTAAATTATAGTATTTGGGTTTTTTCTCCCCATTTCTGAATATATTTCATGAACAAATTTGAAGATTTCAAATCTCTTACTCATTAACATTTGTCTTGTTCTTTAATGAGTTCTAATTCAATAAAGAATGTAGCAAGAAAAGTATTTGCTTTACGTTGGAAAACAATATATTGTCAGGATATATCAGCTATAGGAGATATTTTAAATATCAAGTATTATAGTAACTGGAAAACATAAACAAAGAAAAACGGTATGGTTTAGAGCAGGGGTGTCAAACTTGCGACCCATGGACTGGATGCATCGTGCGTTAGCTATGTCTACCCCTGGTTTAGTGAAGGAGGAAAAAGTCATAATACGTAACCTGATGACAAAGTGATGCTGCAAGTTTGACACTCCTGGTTTAGAAGGATGAATTGTAATATAATTCTGAAATATGTGAGGATATTGTTTTTA